TCATAAATAAATCTTTTCCAGTCACAAATCTTGTGTCCCCCCTTTCCACTGTAACGCAATACTGCACACCTGAAAATTATCTGATATAAATGTTCAGTGACACTTGCAATCAAATACATGAAACATTTTAATATTGCATTCAGAAAAAAAAAATAAAATTTTAATGCAAAGGGTAGGGATTTTCTGTCGGGTATGGGGAACTGGCGTTCAAAAATGAGGATTTGGCTGACAAAAATGAGGAATTGGCTGTCAAAAATGGGGAATTGGCTCTAAAAATGGAGAATTGGCTGTAAAAAATGTCGATAAAAAATTACGAGAGATAAACACAATAAGGGAAGATTATATAAACGCCATCTGATATTAACCGGTGAGCAGATGGAACTAAGAATAATTGAATTTCATTGATAGCCCTAGCGGGGGAACAATATGCAACAAAGAAATGAAGAAAAGACAAAAACCAATAGGAAAGATAATGTAATTAAAGTATCAAATTGCATCGAATAATATTACTTTTTTTTACTTTCAAGAAATTTTTACACATTTTTTTTTTCGTTTTTTTATCGACGCATTTTTGACAGCCAATTCTCCATTTTTGGGGGGCAATTTCCCTATTTTTGGGGACAATTTCCCCATTTTTGACACACCAAAATTATGCCCCATAAGAGACTGTATAAAATGCAAAACTGTAGCACTGCTAGCGCTACTACGGACAACTTTGGAGTTCCAGTCCGTTGGTTGCAACTGAGCAAAAGTCTTTTCACTATTTGGCGGCAACTTAGCGTAGATTACATTGAATTCCGTCGTGGCGCTAGCAGTGTGACAGTTTGGGCATAATTTCGGTATTATTTTCAACAGCCAAATTTTCCTATTTTTGACAACCAAAAGCTACATTTTTGACAGCCAATTACCTATTTTTGGGGGTCAATTTTCCATTTTTGTCAGCCAATTTCCCATTCTTATACACCAAAACCATTTTACCAAATTTTAATGGTGGAAATGAACAAGAAAATATCATTTTCAGATGTGCACAATGAGGTGAAACCGAAGACTATGTACCAACTTTGCTATGCAAACTACAAAGCGTAGTTTATCAACGCGTAGTCTTCGGTTTCACCCCATTGGATGTGCAGTATTGCTTCATAGTGAAAACTTCCAATGAAACGTCTTGTATTTATGAATG